TTCAAGGAGAGGCTGGGCCTGGTGCTTGGGGACGTGGTTTAGTGGTGACAGTGGTGGTAGGCATGGACCAGACGATCTTGGAGGGCTTTTCCAGCCTCAGTGATTCCACGATTCCAAGAAAAATGAAGGAATAAATTAAGTTTTAATTCTGCACTTCACTTTTATCTTCTTGGAGCAAGCACCTTCAAACAAAGCAAGCGAGCTGCCTGCACACCCCAGGTCGGTTGTTAGCGCACAGCCCTGTGCTCAGGCCACATTTTCACCCCAAAACCCTCAAATCAGCATCAAATTCTCCTATGTTTATAGGACTAAAACCAACAGAGGATGCATCACTTAACACCACGGAGCTTCGCCCCCCCTGCCCCCACTCACTTGGCGCGCCGCTCCTCCTGCATCTGGGGCTTGGTGCGCTGCGCCTTGTCCCCCATGCGGGTGCCCTCCAGCTTGCCCACCAGCGACAGCACCTCGCCCGTGGGCTCATCCCGCCGCGTCCGGTCGATGAGCGAGCGGTCGGCTTGGAGGACGAGGTTGGAGTTCTGCGGGACGGAACGGTGCCCCGGTCACTGACCCTTTAGGCCCTTATTCCCATCCGTTCACCCATTTACCAACCCTTTATGCCCTTATTCCCCCCCCACGCACCCGTTTGTGGACCCTTTACACCTTTATTCCCATCCCTTTACCCATTTACCCATTTTTCACCCTTATTCCCTCTGTTCACCCGTTCACCGACCCTTTATGCCTTTATTTCCCCCCCATGCACCCGTTCACCGACCCTTTATGCCCCTATTCCCATCCGTTCACCCACTTACCGACCCTTTACACCCTCATTGCCCCCCCGTGCACCCGTTTGCCGACCCTTTACACCTTTATTCCCATCCCTTTACCCATTTACCAACATTTTTCACCCTTATTCTCCCCGTGCACCCGTTCACCGACCCTTTATGCCCTTGTACCCCCCCCCATGCACCCATTCACCGACCCTTTAGGCCCTTATTCCCATCCGTTCACTCATTTACTCACCCTTTATGCCCTTATTCCCCCCCCCGTGCACCCGTTCACCGACCCTTCACGCCCTTATTCCCCCCCGTTCCCCCATTTACCGACCCTTTATGCCTTTATTCCCGCCCCACCACCGCCCCCTTACACCCTTACCGCCCCCCCACCCCCCCAAACCGAGCCCGTGGCGGCTCCGAGCCCCTCAGCGGGCTCAGCACCGGCGGCGTAAGGGGGGAAGGGGATGGAGAAGGAGCAGGGGGGAGCCCCCGGTGCGGCCGGGCCTTGAGGGGGGGGGCGGGGAGGGAGCCCCCGGGGCCCGGAGGCCGAGGCCCGGGGAGCGAAAGCGGGGTCCCGAGGGCCTGGGGCCGTGCCCCGGGAGGCGAGGCCCGTTCCCGGTGGCGGTGCCGGCACTCACCGCCTTGTACTCATACTGCAGGCTGCGGGCGGTGACGTCCGCCATGGCTCCGCCGTGCCCCCGCTTCCCGGAGCGGAGCTTCCGGCCCGACCGGAAGCGGCCCCGCTGCGGGACCCCGCCGCGTGCCCACGACCCGGAAGCGCTTCCGGTGCGCGGCGCCCTGAGAGACTACAACCCCCAGCATGCCCCGCGGCGCGAGGGGGCGGGGACAACGCCCTCCCGTCCTCGCTGATTGGCTGCGGGCTCTGGGAGGCGTGGCCTTGCCCCGGCCCGCGGGCACCGGGAGGGGAGGGGCTGGGGGGGGGGGCAGGGGAGGGAGGGGGAGGGGGAGGGGGAGGGGGAGGGGGGGTGGCCCCGGTGTCACCCCCGGTGTCGCCCCTATAAGGGGCACGGGGCACTGCGGTGAGCCCGGTGTTGTCCCCATAAGGGGCACTGCGGTGGCCAATGGCCCTGGTGGCACCCCTGATGTTGTCCCCATGGGGGGCACAGGGGGGTCGGTGGCCACGGTGCCCCCCCCGGTGTCGCCCCCAGGAAGGGCACAGGGCTCTGGGTGGCCGGTGAGCACGGTGCCCCCCCCGGTGCCCCCCCCGGTGCTGTCCCCAGAACACCCACAGGGCACCTGGTGACCCTGGTGTCACCCCCAGTGTCACCCCCCGGTGTCACCCCCGGGGGGGCACAGCTCACCCCCACCACGCACCCCGGGGGGGGGGGCGATGATCTGTGCCCACCCCCCCCGGGCATGCCCCCACCCGCTGTCCCCATCCCCTTGTCCCCTTGTCCCCAAGCAATGTCCCACGCTGCAGGCCACCACCAGGCCTTCACTCATAGGGGCACCAACCTTGGCACCCTGCGCCCCCCGAGCTGTGCCCCGCGGTCAGGAGGTGACCCCCCCATGGGCACAGGCACCCTTGGGTGGCACCGCTCGGGACGGAGGTGGGTGAAGCCCCCCCCCCCGTGCCCCCCTCGGGGGTGGCGGTGTCCCCAAGTGTCCCTGTCCCCCGCTGTCCCCACAGCTCTCGGTGCTGTCCTGGCCCCCCCCGCAGTGCCTGCTGCCCCCCGGGCTCCCCGCTGAGCACCAGGACCCCGAGCAGGAGGTGGGGGCACCCCTGGGGGCCAACGGGGTGAGGGTGACATGGGGGGGGGGTTTGGGGACACCCCCGAGGTGCCACCACCTGCCTGCACCCCGCAGGCCTGCCACATGAGCCACAGCCTCACCGCCTCGCCAACGCCATGGTGGGCAGCGGGTGAGAGGCAACCCCGAGGGGGGGTCTTGGGGATCCCGGGGGTCCCCTCAGTCTCCCCTCAGTGTCCCCTCGGTGTCCCCTCGATGTCCCTGACCCCCCCCCGTCGTGTGTCCCTGCAGGACCACCTGGAGGGTCAGTGCGCACAGCTGGACCGCCATTTGGGGAGGGGGCTGCGCAAGGGTTGGGGGCTCTACACCAAGTGGCAGGGGCTGCTGGCGTAGGGGGGGGGGCGCCGGGACCCCCCCGGGGTGCTCGGGGTGAGGGCGCAGCCCCCCGGAGCGCCCCCCCCCCCAAAAAACTCCCCCCCGCCCCAACGAGCTTCTGGTGCCGCCTCCGCCCTGCGCGGGATGGGGAGCCCCGGGGGGGGTCCCGGGGATTGGGGGGGGGTCTTGGGGAGATTGGGGAGGGGTGGGGGGAGGTCCGTGGGGGGGGGCTGGGGGGTTTGGGGAGGGTTTAGGGGGGGTTTGGGGGTTTGGGGGTCCCCCCGGGGGTGTCCCCAGGGCCGCTCCGCGCTAACGGGGGGTGCGCGGGGAGGGTCGCGGGGGGGGTCCCGGGGTTCCTCCCGGTGCCGGTGCCCCTCGGACCGACCCCCCCCCCCCCGGAGCCCCCTCCCCTCGAGCCGTGACGTCAGGGGGGGCGGGGCCGAGCGGAGCCGCGCGGCGCGCTCCCGCCGCCGCCGCCCCGAGCCTTCGCCGCCGCCGCCTCCTCCTCCTCCTCCTCCCCCCGCCGCCGCCGCGCCCCCCCCCCCGGGGGCCGCCCGCCCCCGCCGCGCCCCGAGGTGAGTCCCCCCCCCCCCCTCCGCCCCCTCGTCTCCTCCTCCCCCCCCCCCCGCCGCCCCCGGTTGCCCCCGCCCCGCCCCGGTATTGTTGTGGCGGAGCCGCGGGGGCGGGGGGAGGAGGGGGGAGGTGCTTTGTTCCCCCCCCAAGCCCCCTTTTCTCCCCCCCCCGGTGCTGTCGGTACCCCCCCCCCCCCCACTAGCGCACCCCCCCGCCCCGATCCCTCCGTGCGCCCCCCCCCCCGGTACCGGCAGCCCCGGCCCCGCTGCTGGCGGTGGGGCCCCCCCGCGGGGTGTGGGTGGGGGGGGTGGGGGGCTCGGCCCCACGGGGGGGGGACCCCCGGGATGGCACCGCTGGGACCCCCTGGGGGTGTCCTGTGCCTGCAGCGGGGGGACGGGGACACCGGGACCGTGGCACCACGACAGTGCCCACGGCACCCCAACTGCGCCCCTGGCACCCCAATTGTGTCCAGGGCACCCCAATTGTGTCCAGGGCACCCCAATTGTGTCCAGGGCACCCCGCTTGTGCCGTGATCCTGCAGCTGTAGCTGTGGCACCCCAATTGTGCCCATGGCACCCCAACCATGCCCATGGCACCCTAGTCGTGTCCCTGGCACCCCGCTTGTGTCCGTGGCACCCCAATTGTGCCCATGGCACCCCGCCCCTGCTCCTGGCCCTGGGGCTGTGCCCATGGCACCCCGACTGTGCCCCTGACACCCCAATTGTGCCCACAGCACCCCGGTTGTGCCCATGGCACCCAGACCCTGCTCTTAGCCATGGGGCTGTGCCCGTGGCACCCCAACCATACCCATGGCACCCTGACTGTGCCCATGGCACCCCGATTGTGCCTGTGGCACCCCGACAGTGCCCGTGGCACCCTGGTTTTCCCCATGGCACCGTGACCCTGCTCTTAGCTCTGGGGCTGTGCCCCTGGCACCCCGACAGTGTCCCTGGCACCCCGACAGTGCCCGTGGCACCCTGGTTTTCCCCGTGGCACCCAGACCCTGCTCTTGGCCCTGGGGCTGTGCCCGTGACACCCCAGCCATGCCCACGGCACCCCAGCTGTGCCTGTGACACCCCAACGGTGCCCGTGGCACCTTAATCTTGCCCCCGGCACCCCAAAAATGCCCATAACCCCCCCCCCCCCGTTTTGCCTGTGGCACCCTGCCCCGGCTCTTGGTGGCACCCTGACCATACCCACAGCATCCCGACCATGCCCCTGGCACCCCAAAATGCCCATGCGCCCCCCCCCCCCCTATGCCTATGACCCCCCACCCGTGCCGCTGACCCCCTGACCGTGCCCACGCCATGGGCACCCCCTCCTCCCACTTCCCCCCCCCCCCAGCTGCCACGGGCAGCCCGTCCGGGGCGTCCCCCATTCCCACGCCCGTGGGGGGCCCCTTCCCGGCCCCCCACCCTCCCGGAAACCCTTCCCCAGCCCCCCCCCCGCTTCCTGCTTCCCCCCGGCCGGGCAGAACAATTCCCGGCCGCCCGCTCGCTCGCCCGGCCGCATCCTGCCCTGCCGGGCGGGGGGCAGCGGGGGCACCCCTGGGGTGCTGGGGCTGCTGCCGGGGAGGGGGGGGGGGGCACGGGACGGGGGGGTGAGGCTGTCCCTAGGAGGGGGGGGAGGAAGAGGAAGGGCCTGTTTCCTCCTGCGTGGCCCCCCCCGGACCCGCCTGGATGCGTCAGGGCGGGAAGTGGCCGGAGGAGTGACCGCGGGGACGGAGCGGGTGGGGGGCACCGCGGGCTGCACCCCCCCATCAGGGTAGGGAGAGGCTTGGGGGGCACCCAGACCCCGGCAGGGAGCGGGGAGGGGTCTCTGCCACCGGGACAGATTGAGCACGGGGGTCCCAGAGAGGCCCCCCCAGGACCCTGACCCCACGCCTCGTGTCCCCCCGCCCCGTCCCGCGTGGGGTGCCTCGGCCTCGTGACGCGCGGCCCTCAATGCCCGCCTTGTCCCCGCGCCGCCCGCGTGACGCCGCCACCGCCGGGGGTGACGCCCCGTAACCCTGACCAGGGCTGGGTGTCCCCCCCCCCAACCCGTTTCCCCTCCCCAAAAGCAGCCCACCCCCCTGCCGGCACCATGGCCCCCCGCTCGCTGCTGGCCCTCGCCTCGCTGCTGGCACTCGTCCCCAGCGCCACCCCGGGGTCCTCGTGGAGCGCCGTGCCCCGAAAAACCGTCCCCTACGCGGGTGAGTACCATAACCCCCCCCCCCAGAACGGGTCCCCGTCCCTTTGTCCTGTCCCCCATTGTCACCCCGGTCCCTGTCCCCCTGCCATGCCCCGCGTCCTCATCTCGGGCCGTGCCAGCGCCCGAGGTGCCATCCCTTGGCCGTGCCAGCACCCCGTGTCCCCCATCTGTGCCGCGTGCTGTGTCCCTGTCCCCGTGCCATGCCAGCCCCGCTGTCCCCGTCCCTTTGCTGTGCCCCGTGTTCTTGTCCCCGTGCTGTGCCAGCACCCGGGGACCCCCAGCCGTTTGCCGTGCCGGTGTCCTATGTCCCCGTCCCTTTGCCACGTCCCTTGTCCCCATCCTCGTGCTGTGCCAGCACCCCACGTCCCCTTTCCGTGCCCCGTTGCACCATCCCCGTGCCCTCTGTCCCCAATTCCTGTGCCATGCCAGTGCCCCATGTCCCCATGCCCGTGCCCCCTGTCCCTGCCCTGTGCCAGCGTCCCCGTGCCGTGTCCCATGCCCGTGTCCCAGACCCCGTCCCTTTGTCACGCTGCTGTCCCCGTTCCTTGCCCCGTGTCCCTGCTCTGTCCCCAACACCCCTGTCCCCACAGGGTCCCCGTGCCGTGCCCATGCCCCAGCCCCTGTCCCTTTGCCGTGCCGCTGTCCCCATTTCACGCCCCGTGCTCATACCCGAGCCCCCCCTGTGCCCAAGTCCCCGTGCCCCAGACCCCCCCGTCCCTTTCCTGTGCCATTGTCCCTGTGCTGCGCCCCCACCCATGCCCCCGTTCCTATACCCTGCCCCCTGTCCCCGTGCCATGCCCCTGTCCCTACGCTGTGCCCCCCGTGCCGTGCCCAAGCCCCCCGGCCCCGTTCCGTGCCCCCCACCGCTGTGGCGTGCCCAGGCCCCCCCCAGTGCCCCCATCCCTGTCCCTTGTCCCCGTCCCGGTGCCGTCCCCGCCCGGGGCCCTGCTGCCTGCCCTGTCAATGGGGCCTTTCTACGGGCTCGGCCTGGCCTGGGGGCGGGCAGGGGGGGCTCGGGGTGGGGGGGGGGCGCGGGGTCTCGCCAAAGGCCGCTGTGTTCCCCGGCGCCGCCAGCGCCTGCAGCGGTGACAAAGAGCCCTTTGTGCGCGGGGGGGCCGGGGGGCTTCCGGAGGGGGCCGCGGGTGCCCCGGGGTGCCAGCGGTGCCCACCCGCGGCCTGGGGGTGGGGGGACGGCCACGGGGATGGCGGTGGCCTTGCCTCGATGTCCCCACGACCCCCCCCACCCCCCAATTTGCTGTCCCGCAGAGCTGAAGGACGCGGCCAAGCGCTTCTCGCGGGGGGGGGTCTCGCACTACCTGACGCTGACGCTGGATGAGGCCGAGGCCCTGCTCTACGTGGGGGCCCGCGAGGCCGTCTTCGCCCTGGCCACCGGCACCGTGGAGCTGAAGGCGGCGGTGAGCCCCCCCTGGAGCTTTGGGGGGGGGGGGGGATTTTTATTTTTTTTTTTAAGGGGGGAGCGTTGGGGGGAGCCCTCCTGCTGACCCCTTTTCTCCCCCCCCCCCCCCAGATCTCCTGGGAGGCCCCCGTGGAGAAGAAAGCCGAGTGCATCCAGAAGGGCAAAAACAACCAGGTTGGGGGGCGCAGAGGGGGCTGTGGGGGGGGTGTGGGGCACCCCCAGTTTGCGTGGCACCCCCCCCTCGTCAATTAACCATGTGTTGCCCCCCCCCCAGACCGACTGCTTCAACTACGTGCGCTTCCTGCAGAGCTACAACAGCTCCCACCTGTACGCCTGCGGCACCTACGCCTTCCAGCCCAAGTGCACCTACATCGTGAGTGCGGCCCCCCCACCCCGAGGGACCCCCCCAAAAAAAACCCAGCCACGTCCAGTGCTGCTCCCCCTGCTGGGAGCCTCGGCCTGGGGCCTCTGTGTTAGGCTGCGGGTTCCAGGGCAGCCCCCTCTGGTGCTGGAGCTTCGTTTTGGGGAGGTCCCTGTGTCCAGGAGCATTGTTTGGGGGTGTCCTTGTATCAACGAACATCGTTTGGGGGCGTCCCTGTGTCCAGAAACATCATTTGGGGGGGGTCCCTGTGTCCAGGAGGGTCTTCTGGGGGGTTGTCCTTGTCCCAAGGGATATCATTTGGGGATGTCCTGTCCCCAGGAGCATGATTTGGGGGGTCCCTGTCCCCAGGAGCACCATTTGGGGGGGTCCCTGTCCCCAGGAGCACCATTTGGGGGTGTCCCTATCCCCAGGAGCATCAATCCAAGGCCGTCCCTGTCCCCAGGAGCACCATTGGGTGTCCCTGTCCCACGAAGGCTATCCAGGGGTGTCCCTGTCCCCAGGGGGGTCACCTGGGTTGTCCCCGTGCCCTGGGGCTGGTTGGGCGCGGGGGGGATGTGACGTGGGGAGGGGGTTTGGCCCCCCCACTCCCGTGCCCCCAGGAGCTGTCCGGCTTCACCCTGGACCAAGTGGCTTTCGAGGACGGCAAGGGCAAGTGCCCGTACGACCCCACCAAGGGACACACCGGCCTCATCGTGGGTAGGTGGCACCGTGGGGCACCCCCTGCCCCCCCCGGCGGCCTCGGGGGGTGCCCACCCTGCCCCTAACCCCCCCTAACCCCCCCCTTGCAGACGGCGAGCTGTACTCGGCCACCTTCAACAACTTCCTGGGCACGGAGCCCGTCATCCTCCGCAACCTGGGCCCGCACTACTCCATGAAGACGGAGTACCTCACCTCCTGGCTCAACGGTACGCCGGGCTCCCGGGGGGGGGCATGTCCCCCCCCTGGCTTGCTGCTACCCGTCTCCTTTTACCCCGCAGAGCCCCACTTCGTGGCCTCGGCGTACGTGCAGGAGAGCGCAGCCAGCAGCACAGGGGACGACGACAAGGTTTATTTCTTCTTCAGCGAGCGGGCGGTGGAGTACGACTGCTACGCGGAGCAGGTGGTGGCCCGCGTGGCGAGGGTCTGCAAGGTACGGGGGAGGGGGGCGTCCCCTACCGCGGGGTGCTGTCCCGGCGGGGCTCGGTGCAGCTGGCAAAGGCGCCGGTGCTGCCCTGACGCCCGCTCGGTGCCCAGGGGGATGTCGGCGGTGCCCGCACGCTGCAGAAGAAGTGGACGACCTTCCTCAAGGCTCGCCTGGTGTGCTCGGCGCCCGAGCAGCAGCTCCACTTCAACCGCCTCCAGGCTGTCTTCACCCTGCCCGGGGCCGACTGGCAGGACACGACGTTTTTTGGGGTCTTCCAGGCCCGCTGGTGAGCGCGTGGGAAGTGGCCCCACAGCCCCCAGAGGGTTCCCCGTGGTCGGTGCCCCCCCAAACCTTCACTGTCCCTGCAGGGGGGACGTGGACGTCTCGGCTATCTGCCGGTACCACATCCTGGAGGTGAAGAAGGCGTTCGAGGGGCCCTACAAGGAGTACCGGGAGCAGGCGCAGAAGTGGGGCCGCTACTCGGACGAGGTGCCGAGCCCCCGTCCCGGGGCGGTGAGTGCTGGGGGGGGGCACGGGGCCGTGGCAGAGGGTGGGGGGGCACAGGGGCCGGCTGTGTGCTGACGGCACTGTCTGTCCCCAGTGCATCACCGACTGGCACCGCCAGAACGGCTTCGCCAGCTCCCTGGAGCTGCCCGACAACACCCTCAACTTCGCCAAGAAGCACCCGCTGATGGACGAGCCCATCCTGCCCCACCGCGGGCGCCCGCTGCTGCTCAAGAAGGACGCCAACTTCACCCAGCTGGTGGTGGACCGGGTGTCGGGGCTGGACGGCACCATCTACGAGGTGCTCTTCATCGGCACAGGTACCTTGCCGGGCGGCCGGGGGGGACGCAGGGGAGCTGTGGGGACGCCCCTCACCCTCCTGCCACGGCCCGCAGGTGACGGCTGGGTGCACAAGGCGCTGAACCTGGGCGCTCACGTCCACCTGGTCGAGGAGCTGCAGGTTTTCGAGCCGGCGCAGCCCGTGGAGAGCCTGGTGCTGGCGGGTCGGAAGGTGAGCGGTGCCGCGGGAAGGGGCTGGGGGCCACGGCGTCGCGCGGTGTCACCTCACTGTCACCTCCCCGCCTGTCCCTGCCCTCGCAGAAGCTGCTCTTCGCCGGCTCGCGCTTCCAGGTGGCCCAGCTGCCGCTGGCCGACTGCAGCCGCTACCAGTCCTGCACGGACTGCGTCCTCGCCCGGGACCCGTACTGCGCCTGGAGCCGCAACGCCAGCCTCTGCGTCCGCACCGAGGGCCTCAACGGGTAAGGGGGTGCCCGCGGGACTCCCCGTTGCGCTGCGGGGCCCCCCCCTCACCTCCGCCGCCGTCTCCTCCCGCAGGTCCCAGCTGGTCCAGGACGTGCTGAGCTCTGACACCCGCGCATGCACCCTGCCGCAGGTGGCCAAGCAAGGTGAGACCCGGCGCCGCGTGGAGCCGGGACGTTGGGGACGTGTCACGGGGGCGGCAGGGCACGTGGCACGGGAGGTGACACCTCAGGGACACCCCCGGTGCTGTGCGCCCCCCTCCTGACTCGCCCCTCTCCTCCCCCAGGGCCCATCATCCCCAAAAACGTGACGGTGGTGGCGGGCACCGACCTGGTGCTGACGTGCCGCCTGGGCTCCAACCTGGCGCAGGCGCTGTGGACCTTCGAGGGGCGAGCGCTGGCGGCCGAGCAGGCGCTGGTGCTGCACGACGCCCGCCTGCGGGCGCTGGTGGTGCCGGGGGCCGGGGCGCAGCACAGCGGCACGTACCGCTGCTACTCGGAGGAGCAGGGCGCCCGGCTGGGCAGCGAGGTGTACCGGGTGGCGGTGCTGGCCGGCCCGGGGGTGCCGCTGGAGACGCGGGCGCCGCTGGAGAGCCTGGGGCTGGTGTGGGTGGTGGCGGTGTGCCTGGGCGCCCTGTGCCTGGTGCTGGTGCTGGTGGTGTTCTCGCTCTGGCGGCGGCTGCGGGAGGAGCTGGGCAAAGGTGCCAAAGCCATCGAGAGCACCCTGGTGTACCCCATCGAGCTGCCCAAGGAGCCCCCCAGCCCGCGCTTCGTGCCCAGCGCCGCCTCCGACTCGGACGAGAAGCTCTGGGACCCGGCCAGCTACTACTACTCGGACGGCTCGCTCAAGATCGTGCCGGGCCACGCCGTCTGCCGCAACGGCGGCCCCCCGGGTGCCACCTCACCACCCAGCGCCATCCCCGGGCAGCCCCTGCACTCGCCCACCCGCATCCACCTGGGTCCCCTGCGCGGTTCCTCCTCCAACGGCTACATCCGCCTGGCGCTGGGTGCCGAGGAGCGGCCGCCCTGCGCCGACCTGGCCGAGGAGCTGCGGCGCAAACTGCAGCAGCGCCAGCCCCTGCCCGACTCCAACCCCGAGGAGTCGTCGGTCTGAGCCGCCACCGTGCAGCCGAACCTACCTCAGGGCCCGGCACCCGCCGCCAGGACGCCGGCGCCCGCCGCGGGGATCGCCGCCCCGCTGCCAGCACCCGCCTTGGGGCTGCAGCACGGGGAAACGGCACCCGGCTCGGGACCGCGGCACGGGCACCGGCAGCCACCTGGGCACCGCGTCCTGCCTGCCTCGGGTGACACCGCTGGGGCTCGGCTGTCCCCGTGTCACCACCTCCACCGTCGGTACTGCGCCCTGGGCGCTGCGTCTGGCTTTGGGAACCGCGACCCGGGCACCGGGACAAGGCTTGGGGACCGGGACCCGTTTTGGGGACCGTGTCCTAGGCACCAGGACAAGGCTTGGGGACTGCGTCCCAGGCATTGGGACAGGGCTTGGGGACCGCGCCCCGCCTTGGGGACAGTGTCCTGTGCCCAGGGACAGGGCTTGGGGACGGTCGCCCATTTTGGGGACCGTGTCCTAGGCACCGGGACAAGGCTTGGGGACCGTGTCCCGGGCTCTGGAGCCTGCTTGGGGCCCCGTGGCACAGCGGGGGCCACGTCCAGGGCCTTGGGACCATTTTTGGGGACGGTGACCCGCCTTGGGGGCCGTGCCCCGTGTCCCCCCCCCCCACCGTGTCCCACCGCGGGCCCTTTTCGGCCGCCTCCACGAGGACTTTTCGGGTTTTTTTCCTTCCTGAGAACTTTTCTATCCGCCCCCTCCCGGGGGGGCCCGGCTGTAAATACCCCCCCCCCCCCCCGCCTGCTGCCCCCCCCCCCCCCCCTGCACGCCGCCCGCCTGGGCCCCTTTTGTATAACCCCCCCCCACCCCCAGTGTAATTTATTTGTTACCGAAATATATTTATTTGCTGTAAATACCCGAGTATTTTTATATTAATAATAAAAAGGAGGAAAAAAAAAAAAAAAAGAGAAAAAAGCGGGGATGCGTCCGGTGCTGGGGGGGGGGGGGTGTGGGCTCCCCCCCACCCCCCCCCCGGGTGCTGAGCTCATGGAAAACGGCGGCGCTCGGGGCTATAAAAGGGCATCGCGGCGCCGTTCCCAGGCCGGGGGGGGCCCGGCCGCCCCCCGGGGCCTGCGGCTGCCCGGGGCTGGCCCCGAGCCCGGTGCCCCCCCCCCGGTAGGGACCCGATTGGGGTGGGGGTGGTCCCCGGGGGGGGGGTGGGGGGGCCCTGCCGGGAAGCAGGGAGAGGGCCGGAAGCCGCAGCCGGGTCCCGGCGGGGCCTGGGAGCTGGGCCCGGAGCCAGGCGGCGGCCCCGGGGCCGTGGGAAGCGGGGACGGGGCGGGGGCACCGGGGGGGGCACCGGGGGGAGGAGGGGAGGGGAGGGGGCGCCCCCTGCCGGAGGGGTGGGGGAGTGCGCATGCGCTGCGGCGCTCGGGGATCGGGCGAGGGGGTGCTCGGGTGAGTTCGGAACCACTCGGGAACCTTCGGGACCACTCGGGAGCCTTCGGGAGTGCTCGGGTGCTGCTCGGCTCCCTTCGGCTCTGCCGGGCTCCCTTCGGAACCACTCGGGTGCCTTCGGAATCACTCAGGTGTCTTCGGGACCATTCGGGTCTCTTCGGAACCACTCGGGTGCCGCTCGGCTCCCTTCGTCTCTACCGGGCTCCCTTCGGAACCGCTCGGGTACCGTTCGGGCACCTTCGGAACCACTCGGCTCCCTTCGGCCCTGCTCGGGTCTCACTCGGGCCCCCTTCGTCTCCACTCGGCTCCGTTCGGCCGCGCTCGGCTCCTTTCGCCCCCCCCGCCCCGGCCGATGGCTGCGGGCCGCCGCCGCTCCCCCCCGGGGCCGTGCTGCCCCCCGGGGGCGGCGGTGCCGGGCGTGAGGCAGAGCCTGGCCGAGATGGACTTCGAGCGGGGTCCGCGGCCGGGCCGGGCCTGGGGGGGGGCGAGGCGGGGTGTGTGGGGGGGCTGAGGGGGCGGGGGGGGCCGGGTCCCGGTTCCCGGTGCCGGTTCCCGGTGCCCCCGGTCTGAGCCCGGCCGCTGCCCGCAGGGATCTGGGCGGCAGCGCGGGACGGGGACGAGGCGCGGGTGCTGCAGCTGCTGGAGCGGCGGGGGGAGCCCAGCGAGACCGACACGGCCGGGTACACCGCGCTGGTACGGGGGGCAACGGGCACCGGGGGGGCACCGGGGGGCACCGGGGGGCACCGGGGGGCACCGGGGGGCTGGGGGGAGGGAGAACCGGGAGAGCACCGGGGAATGGGGGAGGGAACCGGGGGGGAACCGGGTGTATTGGGGAGGCACCGGGTACCGGGAGGGAAACCGGAGGGCACCGGGGACCGGGGGGGGAACCGGAGGGGAACCGGGTACCGGGGGAGGGAGAACCGGGAGAGTACCGGGGAATGGGGGAGGGAACCGGGGGGGAACCGGGTACCGGGGGGAGTGAGAACCGGCGGAGCACCGGGGACCGGGGGGGGGACACCGGAGGGCACCGGGGACCGGGGGAGGAACTGGGGGAGCACCGGGTACTGGGGGGGAGAACCGGGGGGCACCAAATACCGGGGGGGGTAGAAACCGGGGGGACAACAGGTACCTGGAGGAGAACCGGGTACCGGGCGGGGGGGGGAACCGGGTGGGCACTGAGCACTGGGAGGCGGAACCGGGGGCGCACTGGGTACGGGGGCAGGAGCTGGGGGGGCACTGGGTACCGGGAGGGGAACGGGGAGGGCACCGGGTACCGGGGGGGAGGAACCGGGGGGGCACTGGGTGTGAGGTGGGGGAGGCCACCAGGGGGCACCGGGCACCGGTGAGGGGAAACCAGGAGGGCACCGGGTACCAAGGGGGGCAGAATTGGGGAGGGGGCACCGGGTGGGCACCGGCTACCGGGGGGGGGAGAAGCCGCTCAGCCTCCCCGTTGCCCCCCCCAGCACTACGCCAGCCGTAACGGGCACCTGGGGGTGTGCCGCCTGCTGCTGCAGCGCGGTGCCCGCTGCGACGCCCGCACGCCCGGCGGTGCCACCGCCCTGCACCGCGCCTGCTACTGCGGCCACCTGCCCGTGGTCCGGCTCCTCCTGGAGCACGGCGCCGACCCCTCCGCCGCCGACGGGGACGGCCGCACCGGGCTGCACAAGGTGGGTGGCGGGGACGGGACCCCCGCCCGCGGTGCCACCCGCGGTGACGCCCACGGTGACGCCCGCAGTGACGCCGGTGTCACCCGCAGGCGGCTGAGTGTGGCCACCGGGACGTCTGCGCCCTGCTCCTGCAGCTCGACCCCGCGCTGGCGGCCGCCCTCGACGCCCGGGGACGACGGCCCTGCGACACGGCGGACCCCGCGCTCCAGGACCTGCTGGATGGCTGAGGGGGGAGCGGTGAGGCCGGTGTGGATTTGGGGGGGGGGGGGACCCGCAGGGCTCTGTCCCCGCTGGAAAAAAAGAACAAAACCAGGTCCCGGCACCAAAACCCGGCTCTGCCTCTCTGTCCCCTGCGCATGGTGCGGACGTGGTGGTGGCGGCGCACGGAGAGCGTCGGAGGGGACACGGCCCCGTCCCAATCCCCCCCCAGGGACCTGCAGGGCGCTATGGAACGGGCAGGGGGGGGCACCTCCTTTTGTCCTCCTTTGGGACAGGCGCGTGCCCTTGTCGCTGCCCCTCCGGCGACCTTTTATCGCCTCCAAAACCAAAACACTGGGACAAAAAAAAAAAAAAAAACCGCTTCCGTGTCCCCCTCCCAGCCCAGCTGGCTTTGGGACACCCACGTCAGGGTGCTCCGAGGAGCTGCAGGTCCTGCGGTTGCAGCTCATGGTGGATGGAGAGCCAGGATTCGCCAAAAGGCAGCTTCGCACCCCAAAAAAAAGCTGCCCCCAGGTGCTGCCCTGCAGCTTGGGGCAGGCAGAGGGGACAGCCTGTGGGTGGGTGACAAGGGACAGCCCCAGGAGCATCCCGGCAGGCAGAGGGGGCGCCGGGCAGGGTGCTGAGGGGGACGGGTGGGGGCGATCAGCCACCCGGTGCCCACAGCTGGAAAGAGACCGGCTGCGCCCTCCGGACACCCCCCCGCAGGTATTTACACACCTCGGGGGGGTCTCGGGGGCTCAGCACCGCCCCGACCCGCTGCCAGCCCCCCTCCAACGCCCCCAGGATCCCGGTGGGGCTCCCCGAGCACCGAGGGCGAAGCGAGTGGGCAGCTCTCAGCCTCCGTCCCCCCCCCAAAGCACGCAAGAGGCCGACGATACAGATATAGAGATTTTTTTATTACCCGATCGGCAAAAAAATAAAATAAAATTCCAGAGTCGGTTCCACAACCTGGGGGGGAGGCTGCAACAGCGGCACCGGCCCCTGCAGGGCCTCCGGGCCCGGCCTCCCCCTCCCCAAAATATACAAATCAAACCCGATGCGAAAAATAAATACAGATTCTCGGGGGGGGAAAGGGTTGCATAGAGGAAGATTTAATAAAAAAGTTTTTTTTTTTTTTATTTCCATCATGATTTAATATTATTATTATTATTATTATTTCTAGCATCTCCCCGCAGAAGAACCTAGGACCTGATAGTCGCGACACGATTAACAAAAATAATTAACCTTCTCCCAATAACTTACAGCGGTCACCCAGGGGACTTGTGCTTTTTGGGGGGGGTGGGGAGGGAGCCCCGGCAGCGACGGGGGGGTCCCGGCTGGCGATTTCGGAGAAACTCCTTGGGAGGAGGCGGAGGGGAGCCCCCCGCCCGTACTTTGGTCACTAGCTGTGTGCCGGATCCTGCCCCCCCGAGCCCCCCGCCCCGGGGCCGCGGCACTCCCTGAGTCACCCCCCCGCCCCGTTCCGCCTCCGTTTTATTGATGTTTTATTTTTTGGGGGGGTTCTCCTGGCTGTCCTCAGCGCCCTCGAAGGAGGAGGCCCGAAAACACCCCCGGGGAGGCCATGGGGGGGGCCCGGCCCGCGGGACCTGAAGCTCCCTGAGCTGCATGCGAACGAACGTCCGCCCGGCCGCGGGGCCTCCGGCCTCCACCGCGCTGAAACCACGGAATCAGTCTCCAAAAAGCAGCAGCAGCAAAACCGGGCTCCCTTTCGGACCGCGCCGCGGGTGCCTGCGGCGAACGCCGGGCGCGTCCGTTCCCTGGGCGGCCGGCGCGGCCCCGTACCCGCTCCGTGGCCACCGGAGCGTTTCTGAGCGGGGCAGGGTCCCCCCCGCAGGGCGGCTGCGGGGGTCCCGATGCGTCCCTGGCCCGCGGCCGGGGTCAGATGGAGTTCTCCATGGGGCTGTGGTTGCTCCGGCGGCTCAGGCAGTTCCTCTCGTTCAGCAGGCTGGTGGTCTCGTCCGCGGGCTCCGGTTTCTCCGGCGGGTCGGGTTTGGGGGCGCTGCTGTCCGGGGACTGGGGACAACTGTCCATGCGGGAGGCGGTGAGGCCGTTCTGGTACTCCTGCCGCGTGATCTGCGGGGGGAATGGAAGAGGATTGGGGTGGAGGATTGGGTCCCCCAGGAGGTCCCGGCCGCCCCCCGGCCCTGCGCAGCCTCACCTTGACGAACTGGAGGTCGGTGAGGGCGCGCACGCTGAAGTCGGCCACGTACGGGGCGCCGGCGTTGAGCTGGTTGTTGCTGCCGCCCACGGGGGACGAGACGGAGTCGGAGCGCTCGTGGTAGCTCAGGGAGGCCGAGCGGTTCAGGCTGCTGACGTGGGACGGGGAGCGGGTCTCTGCGGGGACGGGGGCACGGGGTCAGCACCGCGGCACCGGGCAGGGTCCCGGTGGGTGACCACGGTGCCGAGCCCCTGGTGGTGCTGCCCCAAGTCCTGTCCCGTAGGGTTTGGGGACATGGAGCCGAGCACAGAGTGGTGGGACAGGCGTGTCCCCGAGTGCTTGGTCCCTGCCTGTCACCTCCAAAGGGTCCCCAACTGGAGCCCGGCCACAGCCTCCAGTTCCCCCCGCTCTGGGGACAGCCTCCTCCAGCACCTCCTCTTCCCAACAGCAGCTCTAAAACGGGCGGGGGGCTCTGCCCACGCCGTGGGGGACGCTTACCCGACACCGGAGGCGGGCTGATGGCCATCACCCCGTAGTAGGAGAAGGCTCCTGCCTCGAACTTCATGCACTCCTTGCCGGCCTCCACCTCCACCTTGCCCTACAAGGGAGAGACGGCGTCAGGCTCCGCACACCGCGTCCCGCGGCGCTGGGCTGGGTGGAAGGAGGCTCCCCAAAGCCCCCCCCGGGGGGTGACGGCTCCCCCCGGGAACCCCAGGCGTGGTCGGTGGCACCGCTCCGCTCCCAGCCGGCGAGGAGGAGCGGCGGTACCTGCAGGATGAGGATGAAGTAGTCGGCTGACTTGTTCTTGGTGTAGAGGAAATGGCGCGGGGACTTCTTGTTCTCCTCGTCAAACTTCAGCTCCTGGATGACGTCCGAGTACTTGAGCAGCCGCAGCAGGATCTTCTCCGAGATGAAGTTGGGCGTGAAGAGCGTCACCTCTGAGGGCGAGGCGGGACGGGGTCAGAGCTGCCGGGGCTCCCTGTCCTCGTCCCGTCCCCTCGGAGGGGGGTACTGGGGGAAGCAGGGGGACCCCAGGCCCCACTGACACCAGCACATGGACGGGACCCTCCTGCAGGGACAGGGCCCTGCCAAGTGTCAGTGCTGCCACCCCTGAGCCCCTTCCCTTTTCGTTTGGGGGCACAGGGTGGGAGGATAGCGGGGTCTCATAGTCACAGCCCCCTCCCTCAATGTGTCCTGCCAAATCCCCGGCTCCTGCTTCAACGCAGCGACCGCCGTGCCCCCGTTTCCCCACCTCTGGGATCCTCCAGGCAGGACAAGGCCACTGGAGAGTGGCATCCCCCCAAAACTCACCCGTGGAGAGGAAGCGGTGAGCGGCCAGCAGCAGCTGCGGGGACACCTTCACCTTCAGCTCGTTGACGGGGTCCTTGAAGGCCGAGAAGTCCCTCTTGTTCTTCTGGTTGCCCACCCGCTTCTTGCTGCGGTTGTCGGCTGCGGGGAGCGCGGCGTTAGCGGGGGCGGGCGGCACCCGGGGGACCCCGGCACGCGACGGGGACGCGGGGCCGAGCCCCGGACCTACTGTAGGTGTCGGATTCGTCCAGGATCTCCGACTTGATGATCTCCTCGATGACGTCCTCCAGCGTCACCAGCCCCAGCACCTCGTAGAAGGGGTCTCCCTCGCCCTCGTTGTTCACCTTCTGCACGATGGCCAGGTGGGACTTCCCTGCGGGCACACGGACGGATGCTCGACACGCGCCGGGCACCCCGATCCCACCGCCCTGGGGGGTCCCGGGCAGCACAGGGGGGGACAGGACCCTGCCACCAGGCCCAGCCCATCCCTCTGCAGCACTTGACCCCGGGCAGGGAACAATAAAGATGTACAAATGGAAACGAGCCCCTGGGCTGGGCGCTCCTTCCTAATTTAATGACAGTAATTAAGGCCGTAACAGCGGCGCCTGCTGGGCTCGGGACGGGACATCTCGGGGTGTGGGCTCAGCCGGGGGGTCACAGGAGAGGGGAGGGGTCCTGGAGGCACCATCCCACGTCAGCGGGGCCTGGGGACATCGGCACAGCTCCGTGCCAGCACCACGGGGCAACCAACGCAGCCACAGCCGCGTTCCCACCAGTGGCCACCACCTCCTTGGCCACGCTGACCTGTGCTGACCCAGCCCGGAGGGAACGTTCTGGACACCTGGTGCTGCACGGAGCCAAAATACCCAGGGGGAGAGAGCCCAGGGCAGGGAAACGCTGCCTGCAGGGGCCAGGTCCCCAGGAACCCTCCCCAGCCCTGCCTCGGTGACTCCTCTGGCTCCCCGAGCGCAGGTTGCCTGGCTCAGGGTAAATCGAGCGCTGCCATCCCCTCGCCACGAGGCTCCGTTTCTCTTGCTTCAGCCAAAACCTCGCCAACAAAGCTCGCTGCCGGCCACCACCTTCGGGAATTCCCTGCCCTGGGCACGAGGCTCGGCCCCGAAATCCCCACGCTGGCAGCCGGCCGCGCTCCGCACCCTGCGAGCCACCAGGGCAGGCGCTGCCCGCCCGGCGCTGCCCTCCCCGGGGCTCTCTGCTCTTTAATCTCAGCGCGGGGCGGCTGCGGGCGGCTCATCGCCACGCTCCCACCCAGAAAAAGGCTAATTTTAGAGACGGGCACCGCGCAGCTCCCCGGTTCCTCCTCCTTCAGCCAAACACCCACGGCTCGGGCGGCCCCGCTGCGACGAGGCGGCGAAAACGGCACCGAGGGGAGCCCGTGCCCACGGTCACCGTTTGGCCGTGCCGACCCCGGCCTTGGCCGCACCGCCAGCCCGAGGGAGCGGCGAAAGGACGGCGGCACCGGCGGGGCCCAGCCCCGATGAGTCAGGCCGCGGTTCCTCCCCGCGGGCCAAGCGAGGACGAGAGCAAAGGGCGTGACGGCGGCGTGCCCACGGTGGGGACGGGCCCCGCTGCTCACTCCAGGGCTCCCCGGTGCCACCACGGTCCCCACGTTGATGGGGACGGGCCGATTCCCAAGGCCTCCGCTCGCTGGCTGTGTAACCCAGTGAGAAGAAGTCCCACTTTTCCGCTTCCAGGATGTGCAAGAAGCAGCCGCGGGGTTTTGGGGTGTTTGTGGTGCCCATGGTGGGAAGCCAGCAGGGGACAGACAGCCCCTGACCCGCTCCAGGCAAAGCCCTGGTGCTCCCCGGTGTTGTGAAGGGTGAAATGTCCCGTCCCCACTCCAAGATCTGCACCGGGCTGGCACCAAAGCTGCTTCAGGAGCTGTCACCCCGGTGCCAGCCTTGGGGATGTGTCCGTGGCACCAGGGAGTGCCCCAAGTGCCCCGCAGCGAGGACGAGCAGGAGCACAGCGGGTCCATTTCCTCTCCTTATCCTTCCGCTCGAAACAGGTCGAAATCTGTTTTGGGGCTGTCGGTGGGGCGGCATCCCCAGGGACCGGGAATTTTGGGGTGACCCCAGAGAGGGCCCCCCAAATCCTCCCGCTCCTGAGCCAGCTATGAAAAGCAACATCATGGCAGGACGTCGGCGGCTTTGGAATCAGAGCGGGCGCGTTTTAAATCCTTTAATAAGGATTCGTCAGAGGGAAAGCCGGCGCCAGCAGCGGCCGTAAGCCCAGCTCCAGCAGCACGGCTGCAGAATCCGACCCCGCTCCCCTTCTGCTGGATTTTGGAAACGGGGCCGGGGGTGGGAATCCCGGCCCGGTGCGAGATGAACGGAGGGAAAAGCACCGGGCGAGAAGGCTCGTGGTCATCGGGGACACAAAGCAGAGGCTGGGAGGCGATGAGATCCCGTCGTGGTCGCAACCACAAGTGACACCGAGCCGCAGCGCGGTCCCCGTGACGATGTTTTGGGGTGTGCCACAAGGACAGGGCCAAGCGTCCCCGGTGCGAGTGGAACAGGAGCCGGAGGAGCAGCGGGTCACGGCCACAGAGCTCCTCATCCCTGGCAGCGGGGTGCCTGCCCGGTCGGGCGTCCCCTTGTCCCCTCACCAAGGGACACGGCGCCGAGCTGCTGCCAGCCCCTCCTGCCGCCGGGTTGCGTTCGGTTTTTGGGGCCAGCAGGAAGCTCGGGGCCGTCCCGCGCAGCAGGGCAGGGCCCTGAGAAGGGAGTGGAGCCGAGCAGGGAGCGGAGCAATTTTCCAGCAGCGTTTCAAGGGCCTCCGGGGCCGATAATTAAAAACGAGGCGCAAGTAAACACTCTCAGAGCGCTTCTAGAGGCGGGCACCCAGCAGAGATTGCTCTGCCTCCGCCGCCCCGGCGCCGTTACGGAGCGATCCCCGGAGGCGTCGGGCACCGAGACGGGGCCGCTGCCCGTCCCCAGCACCCCGGTGGGGGCTCCGCAGCCCCCTCGTTCCCTTAAAGCACCCAAAAAGCTCGTGGCCGCCGGGCAGCTCCGTCCCTGGAGAGCTGCCAGGGAGGCTCGGCCGCAGTTTTGCTTCCGGCATCGTGCAACCGGAGCTGGGCAGAAAGCAAGCGGCGGCCCCGGGACGCGCCCCCCTGGTGTGTTTGGCCCCCCCGGCCCTGACCACTCACCCTTTTTGAACTCCTCCAGCATGGCGTCCAGCTTGGTGTCGTGGAAGACGACGTGGACGGGGTGGTTGTAGAACTTGGTGATGGTCTTGAGGGGCGTGCAGTCGTCGGGGTCGACGAAGGCCAGGTCCTTGATGTAGAGGATGTCCATGATGTTGGAGCGCTCGTCCTCGTAGACGGGGATGCGCGTGTAGCCGCTCTCCATGATCTCCGACATGGTGTTGAAGTCCAGGATGGCGTCGCTGTTGATCATGAAGCAGTTCTGCAGCGGGGTCATCACGTCCTCCACCGTCTTGGTGCGCAGCTCCAGGGCGCCCTGGATCATGTTGAGCTCCTCCCGCACCAGGTCGTTGTAGGGCTCCGTCACCTTCAGCATCTCCACCAGCTTCTCCCGGTTGTAGACGGTGCCGATCTCCTGGCCCAGGATGCAGTCCAGGAGCTTGCTGATGGGGTAGGAGAGCGGGAAGGTCACCAGCATGAAGAACTTGGTGACCACGATGGTGTTGGCGCCCACGGCCAGCCCGTGGCGGGAACACAGCGCCTGGGGCACGATCTCCCCGAAGATGACGATGCCGATGGTGGAGGCCACCACGGCGCCGATGCCGGAGCCGATGAGGTCGTCGAGCAGGATGGTGAGCGTGGTGTTGACCAGCACGTTGCCCAGCAGCAGGGAGCACAGCAGGTAGTTCCCCTTGCGGCGGATGGGCTCGATCTTGCGCGCGTAGCGCTTCTCCTTCTCCGTGCCGCAGTTCTGCACGATGCGCAGCTCCATGGGGTCCAGCGCCATGAGGCCCAGGTTGAGCCCGCTGAACATCCCCGACAGCACCAGCAGCCCCCCCAGCAGCGTCACCTGCAGCCAGAGCGGCAGCAGCGACTTCTTCTCCTCCAGCACCACCAGCTGCCCGTCGGGCCCCCGGTGCGGCAGCCAGGGCTGCCCGGGCCCCCTCTGGCTGCACAGCACGTAGGTCTTGGCCCTCTCGTCCTTGCGCAGCGGCTGCACCAGCACTCGGAGCAGCGCCGAGGTGCTGCGGGGCTCGGCGGGGCCGGGCCGCACCACCAGGTCCTGGGAGCGCTCGGGGCAGCTGCCGTTAGCGGCGGCGGCGGCGGCTTCGGCCGAGGCGTTGGCGGAGGGGCGCAGCTCGGCGAAGGCCACCCGCTCGCCGGTGCGCGGGCCCAGCCCCAGCCCGTAGAGGCGCAGCAGGAGCTCGCTGCCCTCCGTCACCCGGATCGGGCCCTGCGCCGCCGCCGCCGGTTTGGAGCTCTCCTCCAGCCGCATGCCCAGGATCACGCTGTCCCCCGCCGCCAGCACCGGGGAGCCGCCGCCGCCGCCGGGCAGCGCCAGGAGGAGCAGCAGCGGCGGTAGCAGAGGCGGGGGGGACGCGGGGCCCCGGCCTCCGCCCGGTCCCGGCCCCGCTGAGCTCCCCCCGCCGCCGCCGCCGCCTCCTCCCCGCCGCCGCCCGCTGCCCGCCGCCATGTTGGGGTCTCGCGGCCGCCGCGCTCGCTGTGACGTCACGCGCCGGAGCCACGCCCCCTCCCCGCCCGGGAGGGGGAGGCCCCGCCCCGCAGCGCTGCCCCGCCCACTCCTCGCCGAGAGCGGGAACGCCCAGAGAGGGGCTTAAAGGGGCGATGGCGGGTGGGGACCACAGGGGGTGGGGTGGGGTGGGGTGGGGTGGGGTGGGGTGGGGTGGGGTGGGGTGGGGTGGGGTGGGGTGGGGTGGGGTGGGATGGGATGGGATGGGATGGGATGGGATGGGATAGAATTAAATGGGATGGGATAGGATGGGATAAGGATAGGATGGGATAGGGTGGGATGGGATAGGATAGGACAGGACAGAACGGGGTTAGGGATGGGATGGGATGATAGGACAGGATAGGAGAGGGTGAGATAGAATGGGATGGGATGGGATCGGGTAGGACAGGATAGGGTAGGATAGAATAAGATGGGATGGGATAGGAGGGGATAGGGTAGGATGGGATGGGATTAGGATAGGATGATGGGATGGACAGGACAGGATAAGGAGGGATGGGATAGGATAGGGTAAAACGGGATAGAACAGAATGGGATGGAATTGGGATAGGGTGGGATAGGATAGGATAGGACAGCACAGGACAGGGTAGGATATGGGGGTATCTCTTATGTGGAGTGGGTCAGGGTGCAGAAGGGGAACGGATGGGGAGCAAGGGTGGGGAGATAAGGAGGGGCGCTGAGGGCATGGGGGTCTCTGAGGGCATAGGGGGTCCCTAAGGGCAAGGGGAGGCGCTGAGAGCATGGAAGAGGAGGGTATAAGGGCACGGGAGGGGGCTCTTAGGGCATGGGGGGATCTCTTGCGGGGTGTCTAAGGGCATTGGGGGGTCAGGGCACGGAGCGGGGATCTGAGGACAGCGGGGGTGGGGCACTAGGACCCAGGGCGGGACACGACTCGGGAAGCCGAGAGCTGGCGGGGGGCGCTAGGACCCGCGCGGCCCCGGTCCCCTCCCCTCTGCGGGCCCCGAGGCCCTCCCAGAACTACATTCCCCAGCATGCCCCGCGCGCTATCCCCGCCCTCTTCGTGACGGACGGCGCCGGATGGCCAATCAGCTCGCGGCGCCGGCGGGGCGGGGCGGCCAATGGGCGCGCGGGGCGGGCGGCGGCGGGGGAAGATGGCGGCGGCGGCGGGCCGGTGGCGGGCCGGGCTGTGGCTGCTGGCCGTGGCGCTGCGCCTCGGCGGGCCGCGGGCGGAGCAGACCGAGGAGCACCTGAAGCGGGAGCACTCGTTATCCAAACCCTACCAGGGTGAGCGGCACCGGGACCGGGGGTCGGCGGGGCCCGGTACCGGGGGTCGAGGGGGGGGGCCCGGTACCGGGGGTGTGGGGCCCGGTGCTGCTTTTGGGGTGCCGGGGGTCGGGGGACCAGGGTTTGGGGGTTCCCGGTACCGGGTTTTGGGGTACCGAGTTTTGGGGTACCGGGGTTTGGGGTGCCCGGTACCGGGGTTTAGGGTACCCGAGACCGGGTTTTGGGGTACTTGGAGTCGGGGGGGGAGCGGTATTGGGGGTCGGCGGGGCCCGGTACCGGATTTGGGGTGCTGGGATTTGAGGTACCGGGGTGTTGGGGGGCCGGTACGGAGATTGGGGGCACCCCGTACCGGGTATTGGGGTGCCTGGGTTTGGGGGGACCCGGGAATGGGGTTCTGGGGGGGGGGCTGGTGTTGGATTTAGGGGTTCCAGTGCTGGGTTGAGGGTGAGGGGATTTTGGGGGTGCTGGGATTTTTAGGGTGCCTGGTGTGGGGCTTTTTGGGGTGCCCAGTACCAGGATTTGGGTGCCCCGTGTGTGGTTTAGGGGTGTGGGGATTTGGGGTGCTGGGGTTTTGGGGCACCAAGTAGCGGGTTTGGGGTGCAGGGACGCCTGGTACTGGGTTTTGGGATGCTCTGTGCAGGGGTTTTGGGTGCAGCTTTGGGGCAGCCAGGTTTTGGGGGAGCTCAGTGCAAGGTTTTGGGGTACCTGGGCCCTGGGGTTTGGGCGCCCAGTTCTGGTTTTGGTGTGCTGGGGATTTGGGGTGCCCGGTGTAGGGATTTAGGCTGCCCGGTACTGCATCTTGTGTGCCTGGTGCGTGGGTTTTGAGTGTTGGGGACTTTTGGGGTGCCCAGTGTGGGGGGTTTGGGGTGCCAGGCTTAGAGAGCAGCGGCTTTGAGATTCCTGGTACCAGGATTTGGGATGCCCCGTGTGGGGGTGCCAAGTTTGGGGTGTGGGGAGTTTGGGGTGCCCTGTGTGGGAATTTGGGGTGCCCAGTGAGGGGGATTTGGACGCCTGCTGCTGGGTTTGGGGTGCTGGGGATGTTGGGTGTCTGGTATGGGGGTTTAGGGCACCTGGTACTGGGTTTTGGGTGCCTGGTGCGTGGTTTTGAGGTGCTGGGGATTTTGGGGTGCTAGGGTTTTGAGGTGCTGGGATTTGGGATGCCCAGTTCTGGCAGTTTGAGGTGCCTGGTGTGGGTGTTTTGGGGTGCCCAGTGCAGGGCTTTGGGGCACCTGCCGTGGGCATTCGGATGCCGGGGCTTTGGGGTACTCGGTGCAGGGTTTTGGGGTTACCTGGGCCCTGGAGCTTTGGGATGCCGGGCTTTTGGGGTGTGCCAGGATTTGGGGTGCCCGGTGGCGACCGCGTGTGTGGGCCGGCAGGCGTGGGCTCGGCCAGCTCGGGGCTGTGGGACCTGCAGGGCAACGCCATGGTGATGCCGCAGTACATCCGCCTCACCCCCGACCTACAGAGCAAGCGGGGCGCCGTCTGGAACCGCGTGGTGAGCCCCGGGCTGGGGGGGGGGCAGCGGGGCGGGGGGGGGCTGGGGGTACCCCCCATGGGGTGGGGTAACAGGGTGGGTGAGGGTCAGGGTTCAGAGAGGGAGGTTTTGGGGTCAGGGAGCAGGTGGAAGCGTTCAGGTGTGGGAAATGGGGTGAGTTTGGGGGAGGTTGGGGGGGTTGGGGAAAGGGGGGGGGAGCTGGGGGTGTGGGGTAATAGTGGTTGGGGGATTTTGGGGAGTTTGAGGATGGGTGAGGGTCAAATTAGGGCAATGAGGGAGGTTGGGGGGGCAGGCCAGCAGGTAGGAGGGTTATTGGGGTGGGGGGGTGGTTGGGTGAGGGGGGTCTGGGGTAAAAGGAGGGGAAATAAGGGGGAAAATGGGGGGGAGGAGGGCGAGGGGGGCGGTGGGAATGGGGCTGGGGGCAGCAGCACTGAGGTTTGCAGCTTGGGGATTCCTGCGTGGGCTGAGCCCCCTTTTGGGGTGACTGCCCTGAGGGGGGGTCCCGGCGTGAATCTGGGGGGGTCTTGGGCTGCCCCATCCAGAGCCGTTCCTATAAAACACTGAGGGAGGTTTGGGGTTGGGGTTTTTGGTCCTCTTTGCAGCTCCCACAAACACCGCTGCCTGTGCGAGGCTCAGCTCCCGCCGGGTTCCCGCAGGGAGTTCATTTGCAGCTCAGGCTATAATTGGCTCGGCAGCAATTAGGAGCAATTAGGAGCGGGGCCGTTCCCCACGCCCCTCCAGCCGCCCATTCCCTAGCCACAAGTTGCCGACCTCGCTGCGAGCCCGGAGTTGTTTCCTCGGCTTCTGATAGCCCTGGGCTACAACCGAGTCCCTCGGCCTAATGATGTCCCTCGGGGTTAATTAAGAGCTTAATTATCCTCGCTCCTATCTGAAGCCCAGGGAAATGGGGAGTGCCCGTGGGCTCGGCAGGGCCGCGGGCTGTGGTGGTGGGCGCCGCCTGCCCCTCGGTGCAGGGGGGCGTTGGGGGCTCCCCGATTTCACGCCCTCGTCCCTCCCCCTGCAGCCGTGCTACCTCCGCGACTGGGAGCTGCAGGTGCACTTCAAAATCCACGGGCAAGGCAAGAAGAACCTGAACGGCGACGGCTTCGCCATCTGGTACACCAAGGACCGCATGCAGCCGGGTGAGCGCAGCGGGACCCTCAGGGCAGTGCCGGGTGCTCCCGGGCTGCCTCGGGAGCCCTCTGTGGAATTGCAGCGCTGTGGGGTCCGAGGGCTGCTTCCCCTTCGTGCTGGCAGGCCAAAAAGGGAGTGACAGCCGTGGGAGATGCGTGGTGCTGGGGGTTGTGGGGTCCCTGGGAGGCTGCAGCCTGCTCAGCACCGTTTTGCCTTGCTCGAGGCGTGCAGGGCGGCGCACCTGGAAGCGTGGGGCTTCAGCTCGTTAGGGACCGGGCTGGGGGGGGAAGCTGGAGCCTGGCCCAGCACAGGGCAGGGGATTTAACCTGTCCCTCTGAGCGCCCAGCCTGTGGCACCGAGGGTCTGTGTGCTCGTTTATCCACACAAGGCTGTGTGGAGCCCTGCAGTGCCCGGCTCTGCACGTGAAGCCCTGTTCTGCGAGGTGACGTTGGGTCCTCGTGTAGAATCAGGGAAAAGCTGGGGGCAGGAGAGCCCTCCCCAGTGATCCCATCAGCCTGTGGCCTGGGTCTCCCTGCCACCATGGTGTCAGCAAGCCTCTGCATGCCCTGCCCCCCTACACCTTACGAATTCAGCTTGCAGGGGGTTTCCCTCGGTGATCGGAAGGTAAACTTGTCCCTGTGCGAGCTGCAGAGCACCAGCCTCACTGCCTGGCATGGAGAATGATGCAAAAGAACGCGGAACCAACCCTGCCTGGCGTTGCGATGCCTTCCTTGCCTCGCACCATCACCAACAGCCCATTTTATTTCTTCTAGGACCTGTCTTTGGAAGCAAGGATAACTTCCTGGGCCTGGGGGTGTTTGTGGACACCTACCCGAACGAGGAGAAGCAGCAGGAGGTGAGCGAGGGGTGATAGCTGGCAGCGTGCTGCTTGCAGGGTGCCTGCTGAGCGCGGCACGGGCAGCGCTGGCTCAGCACCCAGGTTATGGCCTGCAGCTGGTGCAGCCCTTCAGCCCCACGGCGACGTGTGGTGGCCTTGGGCTCCTGATTTGGAGGCCAGCTGGCTACAAGCAGATGCTGCTCAGCTTCCTTTGCACCCTTTCCCTCTCTGTGTCGTTGCTTTCCGCCC